AATAACGGTGGAATTTAATTGACTTTTACAATATCAGTAATTGCAGGATTTTACTTTCGTGTTCTTTATTTTTTTCCAGCTGTCCATTGAGTAATGTTTTAACAGAGAACGACAAAGTTATTCACACTAATCCTTGATCTACCCAACTCTAAGAATTTTCAGATGGATTTTATCATTTCTCATTTTAGTTTTTATCTATAGTTACTTGACTTGATCTGCATTCAATGTTGTTGAGCACTAACTCAGTGAGTGGGGAAAAGGGGCATTGCAAGGGTCAATTAACATCCAGGAGTTGAACCCAAAAATCATGTGGTGACCCCTACCTAAAGCTCTGCAGGCTGACAAGTGTGTATATTACCGTTTTTAGAAAAATGTCAATGTTAGCATTTGTCACCAAGGATTCCTCTCGTAGCTGCCAATCAGTCAATAAGTCAATCAATCAGACAATCAGTCAATCAGTCAATTAATAAGACAATCAGACCATCAATCAGTCAATCAATCAGTCAATCAATCAATCAGTCAATAAGTCAATCAATCAGGCAATCAAACAACCCATCAGTCAATCAATCAATCAGTAAATAAGTCCATCAATCAATCAATCAGATAATCAGTCAATAAGTCAATCATTCAATACATCAATCAATCAGGCAATAACACAATCCATCAGTCAATCAATCAATCAATAAATAAATCAATCAGGCAATCAAACAATCAGACAATCAGTCAGTCATTCAAACAGTCAGTAGACGTACCAACAGTAACTGATGCTTCTCATGAGAAGTATCTGACTGTCTGAGTTTGGCGGTTGCCGGAGATGTACAGTAGGTCCCCTGTGCTGCTCTCTGAGAACTATTGGATTGGATCAAAGACCACCTAGACAGACGATCTCATCAAAGGAAGGAGCAGCTCCTGGCAGAGAAAACCATTAGCCTTTGTTTCTGTTTTAAAATCAATGCCTAGCATGGAACACGAACACGGTAGCGTTAAAAACAAATACCCATATACTTATTGATAGAGTGTTCATTTAACTAAATGTATAATATATAAGAACTTAATTGGCTTAATCTTCGTTCCTGCACAAATTGCTGTTAAAGTACTGAGCGTCACAGCAATATATTGTTATTTTACCTTTCTCAACCATCGTCAAAGGCCTTCAGGAAAACTGCAGCTTTGTTAATCCTGACACATCCAACGTCCATCACTCACAAAGCCATTTAGTCGATGAGCACATATAAAGTAAATATCCCTCCGTTATACACGTACGGTGACGTTGATGTACAGATGTGCACCTGTGAATGTTATTATTCTACCAGATAACACAACAAATTGCAGTATATGTCTAAATACCGGGCCTGAATGACAGGACCTGATAAGAATACTCAGACAGCTATAGTACATCACACAGTTCTCTGACCAACAAACCTGACACAACAAGTCCGCAGCGACACAGGCTCTTCCTAAAGGGTCAGTGTATCTCACTAAATGTCCATTAATTAACCTTGAAATCATGGGAGAAATGTTCCACTTAGGTCAGATTGTTTTGTGAATTCCAAGAAATCCAATACTTAAAAATCTGTGTATAGTATTGGAAGCCACGCACGGCACATTCTGCGTCTGGTAATTCTGGATGCAAATGAGTTTCTAGGTAGTCGATACCAATTTTTTGTTTTTGCGTCCTGTGGAGAGTTTGTGCAAAATCCCACTTACTGCATTTATTATAATCTATTTTCATTATTCTGTGTCGTGGGCCAATTAATTGAAACACTCTGTTAAATGGAAAATGTACTCAATTTTAACTCAGTAACTTTATGTGTTTTTTATTTGTTTTTTTTAGTATTAATTCTTTTATTACGTTTTTAATACGTATACATATATCCACAGACAAACAAAAACAATAACAATCATCTATTACAGTAAGATAGAAATGATTACTTCTTAGATAGACAAACTAACAAACACCCATAAATAACCTTATCTGCGTAGTCAGGGAAAGGGGGAAAGTTGTGTCTATGCTCAGGAACTACTATATTGCCTGAATTACTTAGCAGTTTTGTTCTAATTTAATGACCCAGCTATGCCAAAAGTTACATTTTTGGGGGGCATTCAAATACGGGATGCTTCTATCTCTTTCCATCTTAATTTGGACTGTTATTTGTTCTTTAATACACTCCCAATTCACTTCTTGATTATTCTTCCAATTATGTGTGAGTTTAATTTTGTAATCAATAAAACAGTGGATTATAAAGCTCTGATTCTTACGAGACATGGTTGGCCAGTGCATATGTAGTAAAGCCACTTCTGGCTTCCTATCAAGCTTTACTTCTGTCATGTCGCCAATAAATCTAAACAGTAAGTTAATTGTATTCTGGATACCTGAGCAACTCCACCATATATGCAGTAATGAACCCTCTTCTTTGTCGCATCTCCAACACCTAGAGGAAACCCCTGGGTACATCTGTGACAATCTGCTTGGCACCAGGTACCACCTATACATAACGTTATAGTGGGTTTCTAATAAACTCAAGCATTGAACTTGTTTACGAGTCGTGTTAATAGCCTTACACCACTCTTGCTGCTCTAAAGAGCAGTTCAACTCTTTTTCCCATTTAAGCTTTTGCGGAAAACAAATTAAATAATTTATATTTTTAATAACCTCTATTGCTTTGGCCAAAGCCTGAGGAATAACCTCATTCGAAAACAGAGATTTTAACAGCTTTGTAGATTTACTAGTGACCCTTACAAGATATTTCTGCAGATAATACTTAAGTCTTAGGTATGATAACACCTCAGCATTAGGAAGATGAAACTTTTGCTTAATGGCTTCAAATGTTATTATGTTATCTTGATGTGATATCTGTGACACTCTGTATATACCATGTACTCTCCATTTAGCTAAGAATAAGTCTTCCATATTTGCTTCTACCATCTCCAGCCTAGAGGAATCTAAAATTGCATATTTAAGATCTATTTTCTTTTTAATCTCCTCCCAGACCGGAAACATCCTGGACCAAATCTTAGTTTTGCTAATGTCAATACTCATTTTATCTGTTTTTTTTTTTTTAGTAACATAATGCTTAAATATATTGATTCACAATTGTATTTTCTCCCTACAACCTTTTCATCTCAATGTTCAATTCTCCGGAATAGATTGCAAGCTCACGGGCAAGGTTCTCCTTTTGTTTCAGTGTGTCGAAATATTTATCCCCTGTTTGTAGAATTGCAAATGTTATTTTTGCATAAATTATAAAGCACTATTAATATGTAAAACCTCCTAAATATATAAATAATTAGTGTGTGGATTTTTGTGATAATCTTATTATTTTTCCCATAACTGTTTAAGGAGTGTTATATGTATTAAGTTAAATATTCGTAATTTTTTATTTTCAGTATAAGTTGGTCTCGCCTGCATTATTCTTCTGAATTCTAAAGTGTTTTTCTTTCTCATTTCTTCTCATTAATCTTCGTGCCTGTGCTGTGTTTCCTGTAATTTTACACTGACAGTTATCCCTTAATGACAAAACATTAATAGTTTGCCTCTTTTTTTAAGTGTCACATTGTTTAAATGTAAAATATGGTACAGTGTGTCACGATTCGGGGAACCCAACACGCTGGCACACACACACACACACAAAAGGTGCCGTACCGGACCTTAGAGTGGCCGGGCTAAGCACACACAGAATAGTCAGGAGACAAGCCGAGTAAAGGGGAACCAGAAGACAGAATAACGTGAAACGAGCCGAGGTCAAAGGGTAGGAGAAAGTCACAGAGTCAGATAAACAAGCCAGAGAGTACGTAACCAGAAGCACAAGGTAAGTAGCAATACTAGCAAGCAAAGACCACAACAGGGCAGGGAGGAACAGGAAAGGTAAGTATTTAAACCATAAGGTTAATTCTGATTGGATAATTTCCAATCAGAATTAACAATCACACGTGGGAGATATTTAGACCTCCCACTGTGATTGAGGCACTGTGCCTTTAACGCCGGGTCAGGTGACTGACCCCGGCGTGTATAAACCTGGGCGGTCTCCCAGCGTGCAGCGTCATGCATGCTGCCGCTGGGGGACGTGGAGGGAACAGCGGGCGGCATCCGAGGCTGGAAGGATGCCGCTCGCCGTACCCACGAGGCGGAGGGGACCGCGGACGGCTGGAGGGTGAGTACTGCGAGCGGAGTGCAGCCTCCCCTCGCAGCCGCCCGCGGGAGCCTGACACAGTGCTTATAAAAACAATAAAATGAAATTGATATTGTAAATAAAAAGATCATTTTATGAGACATTTATTTTTTGGTTTAAATAAAAAACGTAGTCACTAAAATTAGAATGTAAACTTTCCAAAAGTGTTCAGAACAATCCAAGGGCAACCAAGGGCAAACATCTACAATGTATTGACAAAATGTATCAATCTCTAATTTTACCAAGATCTCCTGGGTGTAAATAAATGCAACCCACAATTTAGCCTCACTTATATGTATTGAGTCGCAGTGTTAAAACAGTACCCCTCACCCACCCTATTTATAAACCTTCACAGCTGCTTATGGTTTGAAGGGTTAAAATGGATCACATCTCCAGGTCCCAAAATCTTTAATAAAATAATTAGAGAAGCAGATTTGTTTCAATGTATTTATGTAACAATTTTCCCACTTGGTAATTACACAGCTGATGGCTAAATATTGCAGAATTCAGTGGTTTTGCTTAAACAAAAAAGTAGGTAAATTTATTTTGTAAATATTCCTGGAACAAATCACAGTGAATTTGGCAATTCTTCAAATTTTGTACGATATCGGAATCCTATACTTAGCATGTGATTCACAAATACTTTCTGCAGAATTTTTATCAGACACCAGATTGTCCCAAAACTAGCACAATGAGTGGGATTCCTCAAAGTTATCGCTGAAAAAACATTTCGTAAATATCTGACTGGAAAATCTGTTGAAAATTTGTTATCCAGAGATTCATAACACCTTTTCTTAATTCAGCTTGTATTCAGACTTTAGTGAATAGACCAGATAATGTTATATAGAAAAACTCAACTGAGAGTGCATCTGCTTAGCTGAAAATAATGACCGTCTGCAATGTTATACGATGCTACAAGACATTTCTTGCTTCTTGCCTCGCTCTCTGTGGGATCTTCTGTCTTCACATAAGGAACCAACTTCTCTGCTGAAGTTGTGAGAAAATGGACCTTTTATCCTGTGGAGATATGATAAATCAATGCACGGCTGTTAGGGTCAGGGCCAATCCTACGGAGGACTGTTGGGTTTATGGTTAAGTCAACGATGGGAGGCTGGGTTCACAACTAAGTCTAAGGAGAGCATATGGGCTTAATGTGAAATCACTAAAGAAATGCTCAGTTCAGTGCTGACTCTGGAGAGGCTGGGTTCACAACTAAGTCTAAGGAGAGCATATGGGCTTAATGTGAAATCACTAAAGAAATGCTCAGTTCAGTGCTGACTCTGGAGATTTCAGGTTTAATCTAAAGGGAATGGAGGGATGCAATGTCCAATGTCAGATCAATGGAGGGCTATTAAATAAAACAGTTTGGTGCTTAGAATGTAAAACATACAACCAGAGAGATGAGCTGCTGCTTTCCTGAAAGGCTTCCTGCTCCCTGTTAACAATAATGTAATTTTATAAAAGGACAGGAATGCTGCATACAGGAGACATATTCAGAATGTATTCATTGTCCTCTCATCATGTAACACTGCTAGAAATATAACTACCGACTCAGAAAATGACCAACATAAAGACACTCAAATATTGGCAGACAGCAGCATATAGAAATTGTATAAATTCCAGCTTGCATAGATTATTTTCTTTAATACTTTGTGTTTTCATTCGTTTCCTTTTCAAGTCTAGAATTGCTCATTTGTTCCTGATACTCCTGCTTGGCAACACTTTACTGACAGAATTTTTGTTTAGAAATGTAATTCTCTCAGCTTTGAGCGAGTGAGTTCTGCCAATACTGAGTTAACTCACTCACCTACCTTGTAAGTATAAGCCCTTAGTGACCAGAACGCTTTTTGGTTTTCTTACCGTTTGGGACCAAGTGTTTAGCTGTAATTTTTCCTCTTACTCATTTACTGTACCCATGCATATTATATACCGTTTTTCTCGACATTAAATTGTCTTTCTAAAGATACCATTATTTTCATCATATCATATAATTTACTATAAAAAATATTATAAATTATAAAATATGATGAAAAAATTAAAAAACACCTGTTCTAAATAGTTTCTAAATTTTGTCCTGAGTTTAGCAATACCCAATGTTAACACGTTCTTAGCTTTTTTTGCAAGTTATAGGGCTATAAGTACAAGTAGCACGTTGCTATTTCCAAACCATTTTTTTTCTTCAAAATGTAACACTGATATCTGTCAGGAATCCCTGAATAACCCATCACATGTATATATTTTTTAAAAAGAAGAGAACCTAAGGTATTACATTTGGGGTATTTTGACTCTTTTCATGCTCTTTTATGCTCTTTTCATACAACCATTTTATGACCAATCTATGCCAAATTATAAAAAAATAAATTAAATAATTGGTGATTTTTTGGCACACATTGCAATTTAAGGATACTTGTACTGAGAACATTAAGGGTTATTGCCAAAGAACACCCCAATATGTGTTCAGCATCATCTCCTGAGTACAGTGATACCCCCCATGTATAGGTGTGTTGGGTTCTATGGGGGCCAAAAGACCTTATTTGAAGGGTGCGCATTCCAGTTTTCCTACTTGGAATTTTCACAGCTGGTCATCATGTACCCATGTTGGGTGTAGGCAGGGCCGGATTAACATAGGGGCTGATGGAGCTGCAGCTCCAGGCCCAGGCCCATGGAATAGGCCCATTGATTTATATAAAAAAAAAAAATTTTTTTTTTTTTACATTTTTTTTTTTCACACACTACTCTTAGGAATTCCACCTGGCTTTTATTTTATTGGCACAGCCAGTATTTGAGGCTGCCTGGCTGGTGCAAATATTACAGTGATACTGGCAATACAAATGCTGGTATTTTTCTCAGTATAAACAAGAGATTACTATGCAATACCAGCACTGGCCAGTAGGGGTCACTGTGTGTGGAGACAGGCAGGGATAGGAAGTTCCAGCATATCCCTCCCTGCCTATCTATACTCACTGATCTGCAGGGGTGCAGCTACAGAGAGTCCAGACAGCAACTCCCACCCTGCAGAGACAGCCTACAGCTCAGGGAAGTAAGGAATGGGGGGGGGGGAAGGCTGCAAGGAGACATGGGGACACTGAGACACTAAGGGAAATTGGGAGACATTATGACACAGACACATGGGGACACAGTGTCCCCATGTCTCCCAGCCAGTGTCCCTGGTGTCTCAGTGCCCCCTAGTCTCCCAGTGCCCAGAGTCTGCCAGTGCCTCACTGTCCCCATGTCTCCTAGTGCCTCCATGTCTCCCAGTGCCTCAATGTCCCCATGTCTCCAAGCTAGTGTCCCTAGTGTCTGTGGCCCTGGTGTCTCCTTGTCCCCATGTCTCCCAGTGCCCCCATGTCCCCCAGCCAGTGTCTCTAGTGTCTGTGTCCATGGTGTCTGTGTCCCCATGTCAAGTGTCCCCTATTTTCCCAGTGTCCCCATGCGTCCCAGCCAGAGTCCCCTAGTCTCCCAGTGTCACTGGTGTCTCCGTGTCTCTAGGTCTCCCCGTGTCCCCAGGTCTTCCCGTCTTCCTAGTGACATGGGGACCCTGGGATACATGGGGACACAGGGAGACATGCGGCATTGAGATACTGTGATACATAGGATCACTGGGAGACCTGGGGACACGACACTACGGGACACTGGGAGACATGGGGCACTGAGACACTGATACATAGGAACACTGAGACCTGGAGTAATCGACACATGGGGGCACTGGGAGACATGGGGCCACCTATACAGCAGAATCAAACTAAGTAGTTTTTTGATGATTTTACAGCATTTTCTCTTATGCCACTCCTTGTGATTAACATCATGTGATGTCACCCATACATATTTAATTATGCAAATTAGCAAGGCCGGTATGTTTTTCCAAGAAAGGTGGCAACCCTAACTACTTTTCACATACTCTTACTTAAGTATGGAAACTTAAGAGGGATGTATGGGAACAAAACTTGTGTGGACTGGCTGACAATGAATATAGTTAAAGGGACACTAGAGTCACCAGAACAACTACAGCTTATTGAATTTGTTCTGGTGAGTAGAATCATTACCTTCAGGCTTTTTGCTGTAAACACTGTCTTTTCAGAGAAAATGCAGTGTTTACATTACAGCCTAGTGATAACTTCACTGGCCACTCCTCAGATGGCTGTTAGAGATCCTTCCTGGGTCATGGCTGCCTAAAATGCATCCAAACATTCAGTATCTCCTCCCTCTGCATGCAGACACTGAACTTTCCTCATAGAGATTCATTGATTCAATTCATCTCTATGAGGAGATGCTGATTGGCCACGGCTGTGTTTGAATCATGCTGGCTCTGCCCCTGATCTGCCTCTTTGTCAGTCTCAGCCAATCCTATGGGGAAGCACTGTGATTGGATTAGGCGACCACTTCTAATGATGTCAGCAGACTGCTTGTTTTTCTGAGTCTAACAGCATGCAGAGTTACATTTTGCTATATTTATCGAGGCTATAGAATAACACTATAGGGTCATGAATTCATGTTTGTGTTCCTGACCCTATATTGATCCTTTAAGGTAATGCTGACTTTGGTCTCTCTAACACTGTGGCATGTTCCCTTTCTTCTACACTCACTACATACAGCTTTTCTCTGTCCCAGACTGTATACCAGGAGCTTCTGCCTGCTGGTAAGAAGACAAGTGGACCAGCGAGTACTAAGGGACAGTCCTTAGAAAGCATTGAGCGAGCGCATCATTAGATACATTTATGCCAAGCTCAGGGTGTTGTCTGCATAGTATGCCCTTAGTTGGCCAGCTGCATGATTGGCAGGCAGCCTGACATGCATTCATACCAGGCTGGTCTTCTAATTCTTTGGGCAGACATATCCTCTTTTTGGGCATGTCCGCCCCTTTTGGCAGGTTACGTGATTTGTGTCAGTGGCACACCCTTTTACCATGCTCATTGACTTCCTGCTTGACTGGACACTGCTGTTAGGGGTTATGGATTTACTTGAAAGATGAAAACATAAATTAGAGGGAGATTAGCCTAGGGTATGTGTTTTCTTATAGCTGCTGTTTTCTTTCTCTCCAGCACCATCTCCATCGGATACATGACGCTTGGGAGTGTTTTACTGTTTTTGGTCGATATGATTCTGTAATTAGGCCCGTCATAATTGTCAGCACCAGGCCCACTGGGCTCTTAATCTGGCCCTGGGTGTAGGACATTTTTGAAGCCGTCTAATGTAATTTACCCCCATCAAACCATATATTTTTGAAACGTAGAAACCCTAGGGTATTTCAAATGGTGGTATTTTAACACTTTCCATGCACTAATTCTACCACCAGTCTATGTCACACTTTTGGGTAGTCATTTTTTTGTGTTATTTTTCACACACATTGTACTTTAGGCATGCATTCTCAGTTCCTGTTATGTGTTACTGACAAAGAACACCCCAATATGTGTTCAGTAACATCTCTTGAGTACAACAGTGCCCCCAATGTACAGGTCTTATGGGTTTTTGAAAACGTACAGGGTAAGCCACAAACGCGGCCAAATTTTGCGTTCATATTTGTTTTTTTATTTTATTTACACACAAACTGCACTTTTACTGGTGATTTCATCGTCGGGATATGTTTTACTGTTTTAAACACTCATATACATAATGTATTTATATATATATATAATATATTTATTTATTAATTATTTTTTTCCTTTTTAGCAGCCTGGGGTACTGCCTGATAGCTCAGACAGTCCCCCTGCTGGCAGCTCCCTAGACTCCTATTGTGGCGATGTAATCATGGTGATCACATGGCCCTGCAGGGCCAGGGTGGCTGGAGCTGCTGCAGGGGGACTGCTGGGGTCTCTGGCAGTCCCTCCCAAACGTGATCACCGGTCCAGGTAAATCCAGGGCCCCTATTTGTGGAGGACGTACCTAGTCCTTAACGACCGTTTTTTGTCGGACGTACCTAGTACGTCCACGGTTGTTAAGGGGATATGTATTTATAACGTCATTCTAAAGGTATTTTGATTTAAATATATATGTGCGTTAATATCAAAATACAGTTAGTACAAATTTAAACCAGTATATCATTTTTTTAAATTACATTTTATTATTTATTTTTATTTATATTTTTCAATGTATTTATTGATTATTTTTATTATATATATATATATATAAATAAAATTAACGTCTGTATGTTTGCGTATTTGTGCATATATGTATTTTTGCCTCTATTTATATAGACTTTATACACTTAGAATAACACATATATATAAATGTTATTCTAAGTGTATATTAATATGGTTGTTAACGACCTTTTTTTGTTGGAAGTACCTGGTACGTCCGAGGTTGGGAAGGGGATTAATGTCCTGGCAGTATTACATCTGTATATGTCTGCAGTAATGTTCAGCTAGGATTTCATTTTCGGCTCTCTGATTTTACAGTTTAAAAGTGAAACCACTTATAACAATAATTACCATGTTACAACCTTTAGTAGATGGTTCAGCACACTTGGACTTCACCAGCAAACAGCACACAAGTCTTGGCAATGCGATTAGTGGCACCATAGCACTGCCCATTTTACATCTCATTGGAGTGGCTATAGAAACATAGAATGTGACAGCAGATAAGAACCATTCGGCCCATCTATCTAGATACATTTCCAAATTATCGAGTGCATATCCATCCAACCTTGGATGACAATAAAGAGCTGGGGCTGTGCTACCTCATGAATATACTGCTGTTTATTGATGTACGTCCTGAGGACTTTATGTGTAAAGTGCACATTCTACCAGGTTAACGGCTTTGATTGCTAACGGGAAGTAAAGGCGTCTCTGGAACTGATAGCCCCCCACCATAAAATGCCTACAAGCTAGAAAATATCCAGCACATTTTAAATGAATAATTGTAAATTGTAAGCTTTTAAATAAAGAAAAAGGAGAAAGACCCCCTCAGTTATAACACATAATGTGATGGAATTCATAAACACAAAGTAATGTAGAACTGGACTGACTGATCATTGGCTCCACATGTTAAGCAGTCATTGTGTATTGGGAGCTGCAGTTTGCATTAGCTTAGTATGGTGAAGGTAAGTTGGATGGCATTAAAACACACCAATTCCCATTGAATTTCTGCTCCAGCTAGCTGCCCGAGGCTCTGGTTTGGATCTACTAAGAGAAAGAGAAAATATTATTTTAATAATGTTTGGGAGTGCCTTGCTGCTTTTTGTCTTGATCTGACAATCTCATTTAGTCAATGCCAAAGGCACTTCTCCCTGCAAAAGCTTCCATCTTTCCCCCCGACCGTCCATTGAGCTGCACAGACATGATTGATACACAGCATACAGAACAATAAAAGGAACAGCAATGAAAGGGCGTGTGGATCCCAGCAGAGTAATCTAAACTGTCCAGGATATCGCAAACATAACATACAGTCTAAATAAAATCAGCCGTTCCTGAGGATTTTATATCCTCCTTAGAACATTGGATTCCTTCAGAATAAAGACTCAGAGAATGCTAACCTGTCACTAAAAACTTGTAAACTGCTCGGCCTCGCAGAATATTGGAAGAAGTACAGAGAGATGGATCAACAGGTCATCATAGACATCATCACAGTTTGTCATAGGGTCTTCGCAGGTCAGTTTCTTTTGGAACATGAATGTAAGCTCATTGAGCAGGGCACTCCACCTCTCTGTTCCTGTACGTCCAGTTGTCTGGTTACAATTACATGTCTGTTAGTCCACCCAGTGTACAGCGCTACGGAATCTGATGGTGCTATATAAATAATAAAATAATAATGACAAAAAGGACTTGTTTGGAACCTATTGTCAAAAATGTCTGTATCTCTTGGCTGTTTGTCATTCCTGTAGATCCTTAAATATCTAGAGGATGGTAGCTTATTAGACAGCATTTAAAGAGAACCATTACTTTTTAGGATATTTAATATTGTGTTTACTTATCCACGAGAATTCATAAATATGTATTGATAATGCCAGAAAAACAACAAAAATGCATTTACCGTTCTCCTGGAGCTGAGTGCCGTCTTTTTGACTCCCTGTCAATCACTCTTAGAAGCTTGGTCTCTTTTTGCCTTTGAACATTGTGAGCGAAGGAGGAGACAGTAACAATCTTTGTGTTTCTCTTCCTGTGATGTAATGATTGTAGAAACCCTGGCAAGGGAAACTAATCGTGAAATTAGAAAACCCACCAGTAATGTAAGAGTTAAAAGGATAACAAGGCACCTTCTGCTTTTGGAAAACAAAATGAACCATGTCTTCCGTTTAGAATGAAGAAATTGTCTCAATAGTAAATGAAATCCAAAGCATGGTATTGGAAAAATAACGAAATAATAAAAAAATAAAAACTCAGTGTAAAGTCAGTCAACAACAGAATATCATTCAGTAAAGGAAGAAAAGATGGATCATTGAAGCAAATGGTGGATTCTTGGTGGACTATTGGCGGATTGTTGTTGTTATCTACTTTTGAAGTCAAATAGAAGTCATCCACTAAACACGTCTCCTAACTACATCCTAACAAACTGCTTGTATGTGAGAAGGGTAATTTTCCCCCAAAATTTCAGTGATGAGAGTTTTAACATCACTGCACTCACTGCTGCTAAAGGCTTGTTGTTCTAATGAAGGAGAAAGTAAGGAAGTGGCGAATGGCTATGCACATCCAGTACCTCTGCCTTCAAACCAGGTGGAATCATACGCAGAACTTTAACAAAAGAGATAATACTGATTAAAGACTTAAATTAAAGGCCAATACATTAAGTTTTAATCAAACAATCTCACGTTCTAGCCTCAATAAAGATTACTGACTCACTGCTGCCTTTCTTTCCTCATTCGCTGTCTGTGCGAACACTCAACCAATCAGTGAATACCCACAAACCACTCACATTTATCATATCTATTACAAAGTCAGGATTTTCACAGGATCGATGAGGCAGACTGTATCATCTTAGGCCTCGGTGTCATTATAAATTTATATTTTAGATCAAATATAAGCAACGGTCACAAAAGTGCTGCAATGTTGGTTCTTGTTTTTATTTTTCCTGGTGTCCAAACCCCCCAGGGCTGCATTACATATGGAATATAGTAAAAAGTTGCATAGATAAATATTAGCCCACCTTGGCAACATATAAAGTGCCGGAAGAGAGTAGGTCAATATTTATTTAACTGCCTTGTCCTTAAATCAGTTTTAATTGGAACCACACAATACACCGAACCTGGCTTATTGATTATTTTCCTGAATTATTTAGTATCTTTTCTCTAACCATATTAATGTTCATCTATATGCAGATGGTTTGAATGTTTATTAAAAAGAAAAATCCATTTGTAGTTCTAACCTCAGCTCTGAGCATATTGATTTAAAAGCATCATTTGCAACCCAGGCTTCAGATGTTCAGATCTGTCCTGGAACAGGCGTACTCAAATAAACTGGCAACAAAGTGTCAAGAATTGTGTGTAGAAGGACGAAGCACTGAAGCACTTACCATTAATGTAAATGTGAGCTCTTTCAGATTTAATGTTTTTGGTTTTCATTGGTGAGATTACAGTAAAATAATATTTGTTGTCAATGGAGATTCACGCTATCAGCATTTTGCAAGTTATAGTTCATCTGTGAGATAAAACTTCACATTGAAATGCCAACACGTAAAGCCACTTATTTGGTGTCTTTGGATCCACTTGCTAAATAGCTTATTACCTCATTTGTAGAGTTGGTTGTTAAAGGGATACTTCACTACCCAAATACAAAGAATCACTATTTAGCTATACCCCAATGGAAACACACTCACAGTCTGGCGTGGCGTGTAACGTAATATATAGAGTCTATATAGTGGTACAGCGCTCCAGTAATATTTGTTTTTTTAATAATAGATATTATTGATCTAAGTTTATACGTTTAAGTTTAAACAGCTATATGTTTATTTTTTTTATATTATATTGTTGCATTTCTGTTTTAATCATGCTGTGTCTTCTAAACTTAGGTCATGTGATGCTGTCATGTAATTAAATTGTACCTATATAAGCAGTGTTGGTCCAGCTTGCTGTAAGACTTTGAAAAAGTCACTTTGGTGAAACGCATTAGTGTTACTTTTTACTCTATATTTTATTGTTTTTTTTATCTTTAGGTGTCAGAATAAAGATTAATTTCTTTATTTAAGACACCCTGGCAGTGGCGTACACACAATCCATGGTGCCCTGGTTCAAAACTGCCTCACCCCCCCTCCCTTCACTCCCCCAACAGACACACAGCCCACACACACATATACAGACACACATACATACACACATACACATACATACATAGAGAAACACACACATAGACAGTTAAAGACACATACACACACACAAGACACACACACACACATACAAAGACACATACATACATACACACAGGCACATACATACAGACACATACAGACACACACACACAAGACACACATACATACAAAGACATACATACATACAAACAGACAGGCACACATACAGACAGACACACACACATACACACATACAGACAGACACATACAAACACACATAAATACATACATACAAACAAACACACACAAAATATTTTAGCCACCCTCCTGTTTCCTACCTTTTAGTTGCAGGAGGGTGACATTCCCTGGGGTCCAGTGGTGGCTCAGGCTGGTGGGAGTCAGAGTTGCTACTCTGACTCCCTGTCCTTCCTCACGCGCCGGCTCTGTGTATGCTGGGAGGAGTGAACGGGGCAGTCACTTCCTCCCAGCAGTGATGTCATCACAGGGGGCCCCGTCGCGCTGTTAAAGTACCCAACGCTGACAAGGCTCCCTTGACAATCCATCTCCATTGGGTAATCCTAACAGCATGAGCCATCCGATGGACCCCTTGGACAGCAGCCAGGGCCGCACAACATGTCGGCTGGTACCCGGTTGCAGGGGCCTGCAGGGCGGCGTGGCCCCCTAGAGTGACGGGCCCGGACGCAGCTGTGACCCCTGTGACTCCTATATCTACGCCAGTGCACCCTGGACCCACCTGCTTTTAATTCATCATATAGTGGACATCAATTTCCTTAGTGATTTTCCTTCTATTTGCACTAATAAAATTACACTGTGCACTATATATATTATTTATTTTTATTGCATACCCTATAAACAGGGAGAAATGTTGCTCGACAGCATCCCAGAGAAGGGATTATACCATTCCATGCTATATTTTAGGGGCAAACACACAGGCTCCATAACATGTGAGTGCATGTTCATTTTATTACTTATCCATTTTTATCCAGATATACTACACTAGATTAGTCTATCTGTATGTTTTATATTTTATATACAAACTCCTGGACTGCCGACTGAGAACAAGGGAACCCACAAGAATCAAGAAGCGGGGATTGTACCACTCACACTCATACAAGTAGAGCTTACAAGTGATCCCCAAATCTGTAATTGTATTCATTACTTATCCTTTCATTTTACTAGAAATACGACACTTTATTTCTCCATCTCTGTTATGAATACCATTGAGAAACACTGTAAGGCTCTACCTCTCCCTTCC